TTGAAATAAAAGGATTATCAGGATTTGATGAAAAACAGCAAGAGGGAGAGTCGACTTTATTTTACGAGATAAAGTATTCACTGCACCCAATTTGTTAGTGCAATCACCGAGACAACACTCATATGAAAAATGAAATAATTTTATGTCATCTGCATAATAGCAACAGTGCTGATATTGTGATGACTTTTTTCATGGTTATAACTCAGGAAGTATAACCGACAACAGTATTCCAGTATTGCTCAATAGAAACTAGAATTGGAACAATTTGAAGTCGGGTCTTGTGTGTTCATTAATTAATTCATTATTTATTTTATTTACAAGCCACTTCATAATAAAACTTTTCTGTTTGTCCTCCCTGATTTATACCTGCCAGGTGGTCCAGAAGTACAGTATAATCTTGAGAGCTCTACGAGAAACAAGATTGTTCACTTTCTAACAAATAGACTAAAGATGTGTCAATCCCAAATCTAAGTTTAAAATAAAATTGAAATCAAAATCAACTGAATTAGTACAATTAAAAAATGAGGCAGTGACAAAGAAATCTGTAAAAAAAAAAAAGGTCCTTGACCTGACATTGAGTAACATGGCTATGATTTCCTTGAATAAATAGTTCCACGCACTATTTGTGTCCCATTTAATATGCTGTTAAGTATTAGCCCAGATACCTCATTTGTAACTACTTGTTTAAAAACTTGCCAGTGATAGATGTCAGCCTGGTTTTGGTTATTCAACTTGCTGGCTCCTGATTCTTAAATGTGGACTCCATGCTGCCATCATATAAATAGGAACATTTCTGACTGACTAAATAGACATTGTAAGAGCAATAAGACTATAATAAAGGTAAGTAGTCACAGGGACAAGTATTACAATAGAGGGTAAATACAATTATACCACAAACAGAGAAAGCTGTAGATCATTTAGAAATGAAAAAAGCATATCAGAACATAGGATTTGAAGGGACATCAAAAGTCTTTTAGTCCAACCTCCTGCTCACAGCATACTGATCAAATGGTTGTCTAGTCTATTTTGGAAAACCTCAACTCACAAGTCCAGGAGACAAGCTATTCCACTGCTTAATTGTTCTCAATGTCAGAAAATTCTTCTTACTTATAAGTTGGATCTCTCTTTAACAAGCTTCCATCCATTACTTCTTGTCCTGCCCTCTGGTGCTTTGAAGAAAAAAGTCAATCACCTCTGTGACAGTCTCTCAAGTATTGGAAGACAGTTATCATATCCCTCCAATCTTCCTCTTCGATAGGTTAGACATATCTAGGTCCCTCAACCATCCCTGTTCTGATTTAGCCTCCAGATCCTTTATCATCTTTGTTGCTCTTCTCTGCACACTTTATAGACTCTCAATGTCTTTTTATCTCATATGATGAGAACTTAATGTAGTATTTCAATTGTGGCCTCACTAGTGCAGTATAAAGCAGCATTATCATTTCTCGTGATCTTGGTGTTATGCCACGGTTAATGCAGCCCAAGACTACATTAGCTTTTTTGATAGTTGTAGCACATATCTGCTTTATACTTAAGTGGTGATCTCTCACACAGTTACTACTAATGAGCCTATGTTTCATTTGGTTTTCTGCCTAAGTGCAAAACCTTACTTTTTTCACCACAGGACCGACTCTTGTTCAATTAGGCCCAATGCCCAAGTCTATAAAGATCTTGAAATCTAGTAATGTTAGTAATCCCCTTCCCCCAGCTTGGTGTCACCTACACATTTGATAAGTTCTCCTTCTATCCCTTTGTCTAGATTATTTATAAATTTGTTGAAGAATACTGGGCTAGAGAAGGAACCTTGAGGTACATCACTGCATGCTTCTCTCCATGTAGATTTAGCTCTATTAAGGACTACACACCGGGTGCAGTCGGTTAGTGAATCCCTCTGGTGGTGATACTGTCTAGCCCACATTTTTCTATTTTATCAAGATAGTTTGGTCTACTTTGTCAAATGCCTTCTATATTCACAGCATTTTGCTAGTTTACTAATTTAGTCACTTTATCAAAAAAGGCTTGTCTGGCATGATCTGTTTTAACAAACCCATACTAGCTTCCAGTAATCACTTTGTTCATTTCTAGGTGCTCACAAATTATCTGATCGATTATCTTTTCCAGGATTTTCCCAGATATTGATATCAAGCTATTCCTTAACTTAAAAATATTGCATATTTTAATAAAGAAGTTTACACTAAAAAAACACAGAAAACACAACACCACCTTATGTTAACAGCATTATGTGATCCTTCTGATAGAATAGGTTTTTTAATAGCCTCCTTAAATTTTGTACCTAATATATTTGCATCAGGCAGGATGATCAAAATCAAACAGTGATGTTTAGTCTCATATGCTCATATGCCCAAATTGCACCTGGATATAGATACACTGAAGATGTACCAATAGATTGCCAGCAAATCATTGATCTATGGCTTCAGTAGAAGAAACTTTTGCTGCTTAATAAATCTCTGCTGACAATTATATGGGTGTGGAAGTTTGTCCCCCGCATCAATACAATATAAAAATTGGATTTTCTTTCTTTTTGTTTCTTTTACCTCTACTTGATTGGAATCATGCTATTTTTTCCCTATTGCTGCTCTAATTCTCTGTTATTTCATTATCCTGAACATCTTGGAGGAAGAGAATTGCATTCTGCTTTCTAGCCAGCAGTCAAAAGAATCTTAATCTCTAGGAAAAAAGGATGCTGATAAACTATTCTGTCAACTATCCAGCTAATTTTCTAATCACTGTCATTATTACCCAAAGCTTAAGTAAAATCACCGGTGAATCCAAGGGCTTTGTGCATTGACAATACAATGTCTAACAATTCCTAGTCTAACTCTAGCTTCTAAAAAGAAGAAAAACAATTGTTAATCAGTATTACAGATTTTTACTTCTTTATTTTTGTTGAGCCTTCTGAAATGGCTATTAACTCTATTACCCTTCTTTGTAAAATATGTGGAGCAAATCTAAATGTTCTACTAGTCAAAATGAATGGAATATATTTCTGGCATTACTGTTCCAGCATTGGGCTTTGTTTTAGATCAAATCTCATAAAAATCACACATACAACCCTCCAACTTTTCCATTGGGACCCTGCCTGTCAAAACAAAGGTTTCACTTTATATTCAAATAGCTCTTTTGTTTAGAATTGGTCAAAGGAAGCCAACTGGGACTCTTACCAACTGCAATATTAGTTTCAAAGTCTGCACTTAGGAAAGAGACAAACATCAATAAAATATCTGGGTGGCTGCCTCCACAGGATGGGAGTCCAGGCTCCGTAAATTATGCAGAAGAAGGAAAGGAAAACACAATGCTTGAGTGTGTGTATGGGCCACCTCCTAACCCCAAGGTGCCTGATGGAGCTGGCTTATTTCCCTAGAGAAAATTCTTGTCCAGTCTGACTAATAAGCACTTCCGTTTAGAGTGATAGAGCTTCTCTTGTTGAAGTTGTTTAAGATATTGCTTTCATATGTTCTCAGCAAATCATATGAGGCCTGCAGAAAGGGCCATTAATTTTAGTAATAATGTGTTTGAGGCAAACAATATACAAAATAAAACTGACCTCCCCCAGGGTGATTCAAGAAAAAAAGAGCAAGAACAAATATTACACTAGAGACAACTTGTTAATTCTGAACTATTAGTGTACATTCCCTTTATTGCTGTGGATGCAGAAATATCTTGCCAAGCTTGTTAAAATGTGTTATATTTTCATTGGATTAAGAGACGTCTTAGCACTTAGCTAGCCTTGTCTGATCTGGAAAAAGCTAAGTAAAGAAGAGAGTGATTAATACTTGCATGAGAAATCACAGGACTGTAGAGTAGAGGGGGAAAAAAACAACACTAATAACCCTACATCTGAGAAGAAAGCCATGAGAAATCATCTCTATTATTTCCAAAATAACTACATGACCTTGTGGTTACCATATCAAAAGTCAATTCTCACTCATGGGTGACATTATTTATAGATCCTGAAGATGGAATTAATAACATCTTTCAAATGTTAGCATTGCAGTTTCATATTTTACCTGAGTATATACAACGGACCTCATAACTGTAGATGGAATTATATGGCAATTAAAAAATTCAGTCATTATTTGGGAAGATCAATCATAAATACTTTGCTTCTAACTTTGTTTCTATAAGCAATATTGAAGAAAGTCTACTCCAACAGTGGAATTTCCTCTTCCTTTGCTCCTACTTGCAATACTGTCCTTCACTTTGCTTGGCTATAGTCCCAATTCTTATCAAGATGTTAGAAAGGCACATTACAGAGCCACAGAAAAAAAATATGGTCAGTTCTGCTGAATAAAATGCCTGTGTCTCCCAAAAAGTATAATTTTAAAAAATTGTATGAAAATGTCAGCAATTTTCAAAATTTGTCTACTCTGCAAATAATAAAAAGGTCAACATACTTTATTGATTATACTCTTAATTATGTTCTGTCTTATGTTCATAATCACAGCAAAAATAGAGATTAAGGCAAAAAAAAGAGAAGAGGATGCCTCACACATTTAAAATAAACTATGTTTTGGATGCTGGTTAGTGAAAATGCATCAAGCTTTTAAATAAATTTTAAAAATGAAATTAAGGTCACATCCAACAAGGAGTAGAAAATTTCATGGAATATGAGAAACAGCCCCAAGATTGGGCCATTGCATTCAGTACTGGCTTACTATTGAATCTCCAAGGTAGAATCCACCTGGAGATGCCAGCACCTGAAATTGTGAAATTGTGATGTAATAAGTGATGTGTTGTGTGAAAAGGCTGTAAATATGAAGGGAATTCTAAGGGCCACTCTCATGTCACATTTTTCCTTTATCTAGCTCTGAATTCAAGGATGCATCTCCCTACCCATGTAGGCTTAATCATCACATGCTCATAGCTATGTTATAAACTTTGCTTTCAAGTCCTATTTCCATGAGTAGAAATGCAGCCCTGCTTTGAAGTTCTGGCATGGATTCATTCATTCCCTCTTGTGTGCATGGTTTTTGTTGCAGCTGACCAGAGAGTTTTTTACCAAGGAACTGAAAAAACATTATCAGGGGAACAATGAATCAGACGTCTTTTCTTCCACCTGGAACTCAGTCATGATCACAGTAAGTACTTGATTGTTTAATGCATCCTGATTTGATTTTTTAAAAAAATCTTAATTACTGAGTGGAGTCAGGCTTGCTTGCTTGGTACAAGAAAATCCCAGGACTGTAGACTAGATTATATTAGGAAATCCTGCCCACCCCCCACCCCCCCAAAAAAAAATCAGTGGCAAGCAACGTAGGAAATTTTGCCAAGAAAACCATAGACATGAGATTAGTAGGAGTTGAACTTGGCTCAAAGGTAAATAAAATTGACACTCATTTTATATAAAACCATGGCTGGCAGTTGCACAAAAGAATGAAAGCACAATTAATTTTGACAGAATAGGAAAGAAAAGCAAAAGAGCGGGGAAAGTAGAAGGGTCACCATCCTAGCACTATAAAAGCTTCCGTTCAAGTTAAATAGGATTTTCACTCTGGGAATATTTTTAAGGTTATAGCGCCGTGATGGGGCAGTAGTTAGAATGCAATATTGCAGGCTAATTCTGCCGATTGCCAGCAGCTCAATTCTCACTAGCTCAAGGTTGACTCCGCCTTCCATCCTTCCGAGGTCAGTAAAATGGGGACCCAGATTGTTGGGAGCAATATGCTGACTCTGTAAACCACTTAAAGACTGTAAAGCATTGTGAAGTGGTATATAAGTCTTAAGTGTTATTGCTATTGCTATTACAGCACTGGAACACAATTTTGCATCTCTATATTCAGAAACAATTTATATTAAGTGGTGAGACTTTATTCCAAGTAGGTATGAGTAGCCCAAAGAGAAGCCTAATGTAGCCAAGTGTTCTAACCATAAGAGATTGGCAGAAAAGGTGAGCAGGTGACAATTGCAAATTTCTACCCTTTTCTTGACATGATTTATGGGACTGCATTCAAACAAGCAGCTTGTTGTCTTTATGCATTGGCTGGGCTACAGTCCTCTAGGTTGGGGATCTGTAAGGTATGAGTTTGAAGCACTTCCTGCTTCTTAACTATGGAAGCCTTTTTCAAAGAGAAGTAAAGCAAAAACTGAAAGCAACTTTACCAGATATTGAAAGAATAAAATAAATCTCTGTGGGATATGTGTGTGAAAGACTGGCAACAGCGGTTTTTCCCAAGTAGCTTCCTAGTGCCCATTTTGTTCTCTGATCATTGCAAAACAGAACCAAACAAAATTAATTGTGCCAGGCTGCTTAAATTCTGATATTTAAATTGTTCTATATGCTCCTGGTTTAGTTAATTTTCAGTCAGATATCACCATTAAGGAACTCATGCCTTATTTTATGGAAATGATCTCATTTGGCACTACCAGAGGATCAAAGGCAGCAATTTGAAAATGTTCTCATTAAGTTCTAATGAAGGTTGTTATTGCTGTTGCTTTAATTGTGTCACTCCTCTGGGAAATTGCTGGATCTTAACATATGCAAGTCCATATGTAATGCTATGCCGAGATTTTTATATTACATTTTCTCGAACAAGCACAGAAACCTGGTTCCTGGATGGGTTTCTATAATGACAAAAATAAACCAACCATATTACAACTGGTGCAAAAGAGGTTATGATATTGAAAATATAATTTCTGATATTATAGCATTAGACAATCCGAACGCTTGTTCATTTTACACAATAGCTTTCTGTTTCATAAACACAGAAAAAATAGCAGGCAGCTCTATAAGAAGCTAATCCAGGCTTTTCACACTCTCTTAATTTGTTCATTTATAACTGAGGATCTCATATCCATGATGACTAGAAACATACCTGCTTTATTTCATTTTATTTTTTAAAGAAAATTGTAATGTTTAGGAATAGAAATTTACATCAAGTATCAAATTACATCGTCAGTTTATACATTCAGAAATCATATTTGGGTGGCTGCTTATTATGTCTTCAGACTTCCTAGAAAGCAACCTAATTCTGCCACAAATATTAACCCTTTGATCACCTTTCATACATGCTAGTTTGGATGCTGTGGTGTCAACGGTCCAGAAGATTTCGAGGCAACCTCTCTTTCCATTCTTTTGGATTCCTATCCTGCTGTTCCTGAAGCTTGTTGTAAACGGGAGCTCCAGTCTCGTGATGGAGCATTCATCAATAAAGAAGAATGTTTGAAAGGAAGAGAAGTCTATCAGAACCAACAGGTAAAGAGATGATCAAAATGCTTATAAAAGTATGGGGCAAAACGTTCCTGCCTTGATAGGATTCTTTACCTGGATGAAGACTGTATCCTTTCTTTGGGTAAACTTCCTTTTTTTGTACAAGATAGAAAAAGATAATAAAAAAAGAAAGAAATGATATGAAGAGATGCCAGATGGGCTCTTTTAGCTTTTACTACGTTCAAGGACTTAGGAATCAGAATAGAGCTGGAAGGGACCTTGGAGGTCCTATACCATTTCAGAGAAGTGACTGACTAGTTTCTTCTTAATAATCTCCAGTGATGAAGCACCCACAACTTGTGAAGGCAAGCTGTTCCACTGGTTAGTTGTCCTCAGTGTTAGGAAGTTTCTCCTCAATTTCAGGTTGCTTCTCTCCTTGATTAGTTTCTATCCATTGTTTCTTGTCTTGCTTTATGGTACTTTGGAAAATAAATAGACTCCCTCCTCTTTGTGGCAGCCTCCCAAATATTGGAATACTGTTATCATGTCCCTCCTAATCCTTCTTTTCTCTAGACTAAACAAAAATTCTCCAGCCGTTCTTCATATGTTTTAGTCTCCAGGATTTTGATCATCTTTGTTGCTCTTCTCTGAACTTTTTCTAAGGTCTTAACATCATTTTTGTAATGTGGTGACCAAACCTGGATGTAGTATTCCAGGTGTGGTCTTACCAAAGTTTTATAAAGCGGTACTAATATTTAATAATTGTAGAACAAAGCATTTACGGCATTTACATTTTCAAGAAACATCATCTAGTGTGAACATATTTATTTATTTATTTATTCTATTTTTATAGCCCCCTATCTCAGTCAATGACTTTGAGCAGTTTACAATCCAAAAATATATGTTTGTTCTGCTTGATTGAGTTGGACAGGTAGAGACTGTTGTGATCCCTCAGGTAATCCGTCCCACATCCCAAAGGGCTTTAAAGATGGTAAACAGCACCTTGAACTGCATCTAGAAATATCAATGCAGCTCACACAGAAGTGATGTTATGGGTACTGCATCTCTGGCACCATTTATAACCCATGTAAGTCACATTATGCACCAGTTGATGTTTCCAAATGCTCCAGCCAAAGGCAGCGCCACATCGAGCATGTAGCAGTGGTCTAAATTTTGCAAATTGTTAACTAATATTCAAAAAGGTTGAGGCATCTGTAGCATCTATAGTTATGGCAAACCTTTTCAACACCAAGTGCTCAAACTGCATGGTGCATGCCCAAACTGAAAGGTGAGCGCATGCATGGACATGCACATGTGCAGCAGAGATCCGAAGACCAGCTGGTCTGCATCCCAATGCTACGAGCGTAGCAAGAAGTAAAATCTTTTTCTTTTGTGAGCTTTTGTTTTGTCATTTGCAGGGAAACAGAAGCTCAAAAAAGAAAGGCCACTGAGATCTGGCATGTGGCGATGGCGCGCATGCTAGCAGAGAGGGCTCTGCGTGCCACCTCTGGCACACGTGCCATAGGTTCACCATCATGGGCATAAGGCATGTCTGCAGAATAGTGGAAAATGAACCAAAGAATCTTGCAATAGTGCTTCTACTCACAAAGCAGACATGAACGACTTAGGCATCATAGACATTTTACAACCTGTCTTCTGATTTAAGTTTCTTTCAAAAAGCAAAACAAGTTGGTTAAACTTAGAAGTCCAATCAAACATTTTCTGATCTTTTCCTTCATAAATTGTTCATTGTGGTGAACATTGCTCATCAATTTATCTGTAACTTGGTACTTGTTGGGTCATGTTTATTACCTTGGATTACTCTCTGACTGTTCCACTTTATCAATCTGGACTAGGATGAGATGACCATACTAAACAAGAACTAAACTGTCCTGTAGTTTCTGTCCATTCAATAAAGATGAGTAGGGACCACCTTTCACAGAATCAGTTGCAGGGTCAGTTTCCCACTTGCAACCCTCCCTTTTTTCTGGGATATTTCATCTCCTGAAATCAAATCAGCCTCAATCTTGTATTTTAGGAAAACTTACAAAAATGTGGCCTTTTAGGATAGCCTTGGAAAGCAGCTGGGATTTGCTGAAAGCTCCTGTCTTGGGTTGTATATGAATATTGATTGTTCTTCACTGCCCATATTTTTCTTTGTAATGTTATTAAATATGTTTATAATGAATAAATTTGGACTTTACATATTTAGATTGGCTGTTTTCATTAATTGTGATACAATGCCTAGGCTTACATTTAGTAAGATGGGCAGTTGTACATGCTCGATTAATGAATGAAGAATAAATAAATCACTTGTAAGGTTACTTGTTAATACTTATTTTGCTGTTAAAATGTATTGTTTTCTTCTAATTGCTTTTTTATTTTAATCTTTTTTTACTGAAAGAACAGAATGGAAGTTGCTCGGTGTCTCCTTAGTCTGAAATTAATTTAGTAGATTTATTAATTAGATGCACTCACTTTGCATAAACATTTATTTCAAGACAAATTTCTTTCTTTCTTCCCAGGGTTGCTACGCGGTAATCCTGAATTCCCTTGAAACCTATGTGTATCTTGCAGGAGCTCTTGCCATTGGTGTTTTAGCCATTGAGGTACAGTACAAATTGAATCTTCCTGGCCACAGTAATGTCAAAAGATGCCTCCTTTCCTTATGTTCCTACCACAGCTGAATTTTTCTTTTCTAGTCGGAAAGTTATTTGTAGGAATATATTTTTTAAAAAAAATGATGTAGAGCAGTGTTTCCCAAATTTGGTAATTGTAAGATGTGTGGAGTTCAACTCCCAGAATTCCCCTGGCTGGGAATCATCAGGCAATTGCCAAGTTTGAGAAAAAACTAATTCACTGGAAGTGCCTTAGGCTTTATGTGAACATAGCACATCACTGGCATTCCTTAAAGCAGCTGGTGGTTGAGAAATCAACTGATTAATGTTAGGTATGACTCTCAAAACTGCTGCACCCCTCTTCTTATTAGTTTGGAAGCTGGTTTGGAAGTCTGAAGTTTGAATAGGCACTGAAAATCCTATATAATCCTAGTTGCTAACTTGAAGTGTTTATATATGCTGGGAAATAACTGTCCTGTACTGCCCTCTCGTGTTAATCCTAGCATACTCATTCATTCCAAGTGCATATGTTTGAGATGAGTTCAATTTTACTTAATAAAAATGCATGGAAACAAAGCAGTTATTTCCTTTTATAATTTAACATTCATTGGACAATTATTCCTGCATTTACTTATGGGTCAGTTTAGTAGTTTTTTTAGGTTTTTATGCAGATTATTGAGATTCGCTAAGGTTGCTTAACTCTCCACATATTGCAGGTATGAACCATCCTGGCTTAGGGGCTCCTGAGCATCCCTCAGTGGTTGATGATTCTATAGTTAAATCTATGTCACAGCATGATCTCATCCCTGATTAGATTACCAAAGGAATCCTGTACCAAAGGAAAGGAGATGGAAGAAACTATTGGAATTAGACAACTAAAAAAACCACTCTTAAAGAGCAGAAGCTTTAAATTGATCACTGCCTCACAGGGAGGCCATAGAAACAATTAAGGAAAGGAGTGATATTACTTCAGTAGGATTAGGTTGCTATTTAGTGATTTTTCAGCAGACAAATTTTGAAGCAAAGTTGTTCAACTGGACCCAAAATTGTTGGGGACTAAGGAAGAACAGAATTCCCCACCTTTTTAAAAAAAGCAAACAAACTTGAATCAGAAGTATTAATGATATGTATACAAAATTGTTCTTTTGGATAAAATTGATAGGTTTTTGATTGAATCCTAGCCCTATTCTTCCAATCGTTCTCCCTTTTTTTCTTTAGTTAGGTATAGCTAAACCTTTCTGTTATAATTAGATTCAGTGGGTACCTTTTTTGCCATATTAGATATAAATGTAGTCTCTGACATAGCATACATACATACATACATACATACATACATACATACATACATATTCCCTAGTATCCTTCAAATACTTTAGATTTTCATAAAGATAGGAAGATCTGCATTTATCCACATTCATCCACATTTTATGTTCATATTTTATATGGCTCTAATACAGAACACCATTTAAATATACAATTTTATATCCTTTATGCCTTCTATTTTAATTTTATATGGCTCTTACACTCAACTTTTTACCTATTACTTCATAATGACTATTTGTATGACCTTTCCTCCCTTTGAAGAGCTATGATTGTAATAAAATGGACTTGATTTGATCTGTCATAACCAGGACCCTCTCTTTTGTTTTATGTCCTTCACAGCTGTTTGCTATGATCTTTGCTATGTGCCTCTTTCGGGGGATCCAGTAGGAAGTGTTTCATGAGACACAAATGATATTTCAAGGACTTGCTTTGAAGAAGGAAAAGAAAGAAGATAAACTTTATTTTTTGGTTAGCAAACTAAACAAAAGGAGGGAAAGGACTGTAATATATTAATGATCAAAAGGATTGTACTTCAGGGGCTGGAACTTTGAGGTGCTGTCTAGTTCCTTGCCATCTCCAAGAGGAGTCATTCATCTGAAGCCACTCAAATGGATTGCACTAAAAGCCTGCAAGTCAGGATGGGAAATAAACTCTAATAATATCCATGATGTTGTCTGGAACACACATCTCTCATACAATAAAGATCCATTGATTGAAGAAGATAAAGAAGACTACCTACTTTAAACAAGATCTTCATTTAAAATACTAAATCTGTCATCCTAAAGCATTGAGATATATACAGATTGCTTCAGTTTTAAGCTAAGAGGGGCAAATGCATTGGCACTTGACTTGCAAGCGTTCTACCAAGATAAACAGTTTTCCATCTCATGTGTGATCCAGAAGATGCAAGCATTTAGGAATGCTTAGAATGGAGAATGCCTTCTCCAAGAATCTTGAGGATGGGGTTGTGTGTATCAGATCTAATGGTGAAAAGTAGGGTAAGCTGAAATCAGTGCATACCATTTTAGTGCATACCATTTATCACATTGAATTTTCTGATCAGTGTTATGTGAGAACAAAGACTAAAGCAGCTCAGCTGCTGGTTCCCTCACCTTAAAGAAAAAAAAGTTCTTGTCTAGAATTGTTGGTGCTGCCTCCCCTAAGGAGATGTATCTGTTTTGGGTTTTTTAGGCTTTTGAATGTCTTGTCACCATCATGCTCTGTGAAAAATACATAGCCAAGTTTGGCCTTCATATAGCAATTGATTTAGCTTGGTGTCTTGTCCCCATGTGCCTTTCAACTGTGTTAAAAATAATCCCCCAACAAGGACAGAAAGCAGTGAGGCACTTTTGCAGTTGCCTTTTGCAAAAATTAATTTGTAAGTTTTGTGGTGTTGCTTCTGACCTAGGCATTTTCGCTTAAAAAAAAACCCAATATACTCTGATTTATTTTATTTTATTCATTTTAACTGTTGCCAAGTTCTAGCTTCAGTGGTCTATTATCCAATCAGCAAACACAGTCAATAAGCCCGAGAGGCATAACTGAAATTCCAAGACATACAAGTAGTGAACATTTGAAATACAAAGACTTTTGAGCTTGAAACTTTCTATTTCAAGTTTTAAATAGTCCCTTCAAATTTGAAATGGTTTTCCCTGACCATCCCAGGAGAGTCGAACTGCCCCAAAACACTTGCTTCAAACTGGGAATATTTTGTTCAGCCTCAAATCCAAGCTGTTGTTGTTTAGGATTCTGATAAACATGTAAATTAGAATGAAATTGCATTATTTACTGAATGGTGGGCAAAGATGTAAACTGGCAAAGTAATGTGATATGACAGTTTTAAATGAGATGGTAACCTACTACTAAAAATACGAATACCATGTTTCCCCAAAAATACGACAAGGTCTTATTTTCTTTTTACCTACAAAATATGGCTTGGGCTTTATTATGGGGGGAGGGTTTATTGTTTTGGGGTTGCCAGGCGGCTGCTCTCTTGTGAGTGGGCTCCCAAAGAGCCAGGCACAGCCTCATGGGCTAATGGCTATATTTCACTGTTGCAGGCAGCTGGCCCACAACCATAGAGTGTGCGCCCAGAGTGGCCGCTGCCAAAAGACTTGGGTTGGAAGCTGCGGAAAAAGCCAGGCTGGGATGGCGGCGGCAGCGGAGGTGCCCTGGCTCCGTAATGAGAGCTGGGTCATGCATCACGAGCTGGGAGGTGGGTGAGCAAGAGCAGAACTGCTTATGAAACCCCTCTCTCCAGCCATGCAGAGCGCCATTCACTGGCATTTGGAAGGCACTAAGCCACAGGAGCCAGGCGGTGGTGAACAGGTGCTCACGCAGCTTGGCACCTTTGGGATTCTGCTAGGTTGGTGAGCGGCGCTCTGCCTGGCCAGAGGTAGGGGGTTGTCCAGGTGGCTTATATCCGGGGGGGGGGGAGCCTTATATTTTTGCCCACTAGTAAAATGTGGCATGGCTGTATTATGAGGACGTCGTATTTTTGGGGAAACACGGTAGGATTTGGTGACATAGGATGCCAAAGATGAGATGTTGAGAATCCCTGTTGAAAGCAACAATAACAGGGTGCTCATCTATAAGTAATAATCTCCACAAGTATAGCTTGGGGAAAATCTCAGCATTTATTATTTGATTTGAGATGAAAACATGCTAGAGCAATCATAGTTATCATGACTGTTTGGTTAATTAACATATGATAAGTTAAATTTCAATGTAGTCTTTGACAATCTCTCAAACATGCTTTCAGTGTTATTTTGTTAAGTTCTGTGCATTTAGAATTCACTATGGCTTCCAAACATGAGAAAGCCAGTTTTGCAGGATCTGAAGAACTCTGTTAGTTGGTTCCATCTAGAGATAATGGCCTACATTTCCCACAATACATGAAAGGCATTTTTAGGGGGAGGGCACACAAAAGAATTATATTTTAACAAGGATGCTAGGCAGAGAGACATAACAAGGGTGTGTGTGTGTATGTGTGTGTGTAGGTGCTAACCTGTGATTTGGTAACCTATTATTGGCTGCTCCGATGGGACAGATCCAGCCAATGAGTTGCAGGTGATTAATGGTTGTTTAATTCCAACTACACTTAGTCTAAGCCAACAGAAAGCACACTAAGTGTGCTATTAATTTTTATTCAGAAATCTCTGAAGGTAAAATACCTATTTCAAGGAGTTGACCCTGAGATATGTTCTCTGTCTTCCTCCACTTCCTCCAAAAGATACTCATACCCTGAACAATAAAACTTAAGTCACAGGCAGGGCAGGTAATGGCAGAACTAAGAGAAATCTAATATAGTTTCCTGATATTCTCTTTCTGTTTCAGAATGTCAGTGCCTATGTGTCTTTATTCTCACTTACCTGGTGGTTTTCCAATTTCTGACTCATTCTGCTATCTCCAGTTTGCTCTCCAATTTGAACATTTTTCTGTCCTTTCCTTTCATTGCTTCAGCAAAGGCACTCATGATAACCCCAAAGAAAATCCCGAAGAATGACACACAGCTAGCTGTATGGGTAATCAAGTCTTACCTACTGCTTAGTAATGGCTTAGTCTAGCTTCTACTTAAACCATCCCAATGAAAGGGATTGTTTCTCTGCCACTTCCTTGGCAGAGAAAAGGGAGTCAATTGTTTTACAAAATAATGGGAATTAACTTGCTGGCTTCAAAGATACCTGTGAAAGACATCAGACACTTAGCATAAAACCACACTATTGGAGAGGAAGAAATGTATTTATATAAGAGAATTATTGAAAGAAACACTATTAGGTTTGACAAAGCGTGCAGTCAGAAAAACTTAATTAGCATTTTTGTGCTGTCAGATTTGCAAAAATCATTTTAGAATAGTCAAGGGTTGCAAGACTGATTTTCTGTTCTTTGTTTAGTTGGAGTTAGGCTGCAGCCGTTAGGTCCTAAATATCATTTGTTTGGTTTAGGCTTAGCAGATCAGATTAAACTGAGCCATTTTGGTTCATAAACCTTGGTGTATTGTGGGAAGCAAGAAAAATATAGATTTGTGCTTCAACAATCCGTAACTTGGCATGATACATGAACCAACTCTTCCAGCAAATTCCAAATTGCATCATCTCTCTTTCTGATCTGGAAATAAATTAAAGGGCAATTTCTGTTCCAAATGAACTTGTGCCTGAGCTGATCATCCCCTTGTCACTAATCTTTTTAGGGAGAAGGGATGACCTATAACATGTTCTTCTACACAAGCTTAAGTGAAATTGATATATGTGGCTAAACCCCTGCATAGATTGTATGCTTCAAATGGAGTTTGTCCAGAAGAACTTGGGTCAGGGCTGTCTCTTTCTTATGTTTGTGTTTGTGACTCTAGATCCACCCAAGTATTTCTCACTCTGTGGTTGTCACTGTTGCAAGTGCCTGGGAAGCAGGTCACTTATGAAGTAAATGTTGAGATCTATTTTAAATGTTCCTTTTATTAGAAGGCTAGAGCTAATTTAACTTGTATTCCTTATTGTAATGCTTTTTTATATTGAAAGAGATTTTTTGTAACATAAAATAGGATGCTATTCTGAAGCATTTGCACAGTTTCTGTGTGCATTTCTTAAAAAATGAAAAGACAAAAATAAAGACACTGTGACAACAAAGCTTTACTTTCCACAATTCATGGCTTCTGTGTTTTTCTTGTTGAAATTGAAGTGTAATAGACTTTTTCCTGAGGAAAAAAATACTGTCACAATCCAAACAGTAGAACTTGTTATTTTGAGTTGAAAATAGGAAATAATTAGACCGTGTCCTGTTCCAAATTATGAAATTCGATATAATCACCAAGTTTTTTTGAGTTAAGATTGGGTTGGCTCTTACTTTTCAGAGGTCACACAAAATGTTTTGACTTTTTGAAAGCATTTGCACATTCACTGTTAAAAACTCAGGAGGCCAGTATGTATAAGGTATATTGAAGACATTTTTGAATATGCAATTGTTTTTAGATTGTCAAGGTCATTTGAATAAAGTTGGCACAGGATGGAGTTTATCTTAAAGACTCAAAGGGACATGTTCTCTAACCACAATTGACCTTTTTATATATTTATGCTTAAAGTGCATCAATAAACAAAGGTTATTTGCCCAAACCTACTTTGTAAAAAAAATGGCTTCAAAATACAATTAGTAATTTAATAAATTTGTATGCAATGATTTACTTAAACATAGAAACCAGTAAGGATATGAATATCGCCATTATCCAGCATAACATTCTATTTCAAGCCAACTAACAGTATGTAAAGTATAGAAAAGGAGTAAGAAATAGTAAACCAAAGAAGTGAAAAGACAATAGAAACAAGAAAAAGATTAGTTAGATTTATACCAACACTATTCAATATTTCTCTCTGTATGTTTTTTGCTTTGCAAACCATATTTAGCTTGCTTTGCATTTAGTTTATGTTTGCATTGTACCAATTCATACTTTGTATTTTTTCTCCTCAAACTTACCACCTCTCTATTTTTCAGGAACTCATCAGTTTTCTCCAAACTGGTGTCTTACGTGGTCTCTCCTTCCTCCTCCAGCCTGTTTGGGGTCTTGGCCATTTGTGTTAAAAAATTTATGCACACTCCTAAATTGACATATAGAACTAATATTGCCATATGTATTCCTTGTATATTTATACACAATGCATTAAAGAATGAACAGCACAGACCTAGAACTTACTCTTCGATTAATGTTGAATCCTTCCCTGGTATCCCATTGAATTTTTATACTTGCTTTTCTTGCATCATAGAGTGCTCCCTTCTAGGGAGTACCTAGAGTGCTCCCTAGAGTGAAGCAACCTTCAACTCTCTATTCTTTCCATAATTAAATCTCTTCCCTGTATCAGGGAATTTGGGAATCAACAACACTGCAATAAATTCATTTTCACACATTGACACTTTTCCCAATGAATAATAAAACAGATTTGTTTATTTCCTGCATGATATGAAGCTGTATTGTGCTTCCCAAATTTTATTCAATGTCATCGCTTCTTTCAGTCAGAATTCTGTCTCTTTTCTTGGCATACTTAATAAACTGATGCCCCTGGAGGGTTTTTTACATTCCCCTTTGTTATCTCTCCTTTAGTATAGGAGAAAAATAAACAGAATTCTTGTAATTGCCAAGAATCGATGCAGACTCTGCCCAAGGCCTAGGGCACAGCCCTGCACAGCTGTGCTCCACAAGAAATGCACATCCATATTTTAGTAATTTTCTAGTTGCAGATGGAGAGGGAGGTTTTTCCCACTTTTAGAAAAGACACACCTTAGAATAGAACATAATATTTTTGTTCAACATTCTCATGTTTAGAACTTTCTTTTAACCAATATTTTTGGACAGTAATACTGTATTTATAGCTCTTCATTGTGAATGTATCTACATTGTCTGATTTAAGCTAATTTTATTTATTTTAAGCATGATACTCCATTTTGGGGTTAAGTGGCTAAAGGCACAGTAAGAAATTCATTTAACATAGCATGTTTTTCAATCCTAGTCTTGAATCAGGGCAAACTCCCATGCAAATCCCTGAAACTCTTTTTCAGTATTCCCTCATTCCTATTTCATTCCCAGACCCAATTCTACCACTTTTGTTTTTAATTCTATCCACGCTACTGAAGGTCCCTTGGTTAACTTTCCTCACCCACTTCCAAAACAATGTTTTATTTCTATTCAAATGTTTCTGCAATTTCTCTGCCTTTAATCACAACTGTGATTTAACAACTGAGTTTGACACTCCTGACATAAAGCAGCTCATCAAATGGTTCTCAAAGATTTGCCATGGAAAAAATAGCTGCCACCATATATATGGCAAGTAATATGCACACATTTTCTCAGAAGACAAATAAATGGTACTTCAAATACTAGTAATTTGCCTATAAACCAAAGTACAAGAAAGAAATCACGCTTAATTTGT